CAGGGCTCTTTCTGTCTTAGCTGCTTGTGCTGCTGTTATGGCTTCTGCGGTGGCTTTCTCTAGCTGGGCGGCTTCGTGGCATGCGGCTTTCCGTGCGTTTGTAATCTCGGCCAGCTCCTTCCTTCTCTCCTCTCTCTCGGACTGGCGGCATAATTCTTCTTCTGCCTGGGTTGCTCTGAGGCTGGTAAGTAGCTCTCTGGTCTTTTGAAGGTTTTCTGCGTCTTCTGACTGTCTGTTTGTTTGCTGGGTAGCGTATGCCAGCCTTTCTGCCTTTAGGTCCTTGATCTCACCTAGCAGTAGGGAAATCAGTTCCAGGGTCTCCGTTCTTTCAGCGGCGGCGGTGGTTCTTTCTTTCTGGAGTGCTGTGATTTGGCTTCTTAGTTCGTCGACTATTTGCGGTATATCGTTTTGAATGGTGGCGGAGCGTGCCTTATCGTTTTGTCTGTCTCTTGGTATGTTTCTCGGCGGTCTTGCCTCTTGCTGTCTGGGCGCCTGGTATGTGTCTCTGCTGGTGGCGGTTGTCATTTCTCTCCTGCACTTCTTAAGGTATGGGCACCCTAGGTACCTCGCACTGTGTGAACCTGAGCAGTTGCTGCATTTCCGCTTTTTGTTAGGCTTTTTGAAGTCGTTATCGAGTTTCGCTAGCGGGCACTCCTTGAAGTCGTGGGCCCCCGAGCAGTATCGACAAATAGGGCCACTGCGACAGGTCGCGGCGGTGTGCCACGCCCTGTTGCAGCGTGAGCACTGCATGATGTCTGTGGTGTGGGCTTCAGGCTGCTGCTTAGGTAAGCGGGTGCTTGTAAGTCCCTGCGCCACGACTGGGGCGGCTTTAGGTGGTGGCTCCACGATAGGGGAGGCTTCAGGTGTCGGCGCCTCGATAGGGGCGGCTTCTGGTGTTGGCGCCACGATGGGGGCGGCTTCAGTTGTTGGCGTCGGTGTGCGAGGCGCCGCGATAGGGGCGCCTGCCGGTGATGCTGCTTGTATGGCCATCCTCTTCCTTGGTGTAGGTGCGGCTTGCTGTTTCTTTTCCATGATGGAAAAATGCTGGTTAATTGCGGTCTGTAGCGAAAGCTAGGTCCCTTTGGAGTAGGCAAGGCTTGTTAGAGTGTTCTGAAAAGAACACCCAAGCGTGCTTCCTCCTCAGTTCTCTAGACAATCGTTAAAAAAACTGGCTGGTATGACTGGCTCTTCAACAATGATGTGCTCCCAGGCCGCTAATAACCCACCCGCAGACGAAAACCGATAGCGTAGTCAAGCCAAACTTTGCCGAAAATCAAGCGAGTCTGACCAGTATCTAGCTATCGATAATCAGGCTACGAATGGATAGTTAGCAAGCTAACGAGAGACACACGTGACTTTATCGGGCGGTAGAGCGAGCGAGCGAGAGCTGTGTGCGACTGGGCTGTCTGCGCTGGACTGTGTGGGATGATGATGATGGAGGGTCCTGACAATATTTATCAACAGGTATTTATAGATTTTTTCAACTTTGAGGCGGACATCATACCTCAGTGTCATGCTGACTGTTGCATTATTGATTATTAATGAATGTATTACTGGGAAAAGAGGAAAAGATGTTAGATTTCTCTCACTGCCTGGGTTCAGGGGTTCCATTTTGTGAAAAAAGAATAGACCCAGGGCTCTTAAACAGGCGTGACGTAAAAGGTGATAAATTAGGACTGTTTTCTTCAAAGTTGACGTGCATCCGCCTGAAAGGTAAGGAACCAGCAGTATGCACATGAATAAGAAAGATGTGTAAAATGTATGTGCACACAAAAGTTCTGGAACAAGAACAAATTCCATATATGAACGAAAAACCAGAATTTTCCACCAGAATCTACAGCTGGTGAAAGCATTTTCTCAGCTGGATTTCAAAAGCATTCTAAAAGGTGTTTCAATGCAAGAGAATGAACTTTGTTGCTGCACCAGATTTTTTTTTCTTCATATTTGTGAGAACAAACAATTTATTATTCTGTTTATTGGCTGGGCAGTTTTGTTTGAATCCCATAAAATGCATACTACGGATGCACAAAAATGAATCTTTCCAACTAAAATTCAAAATCACATTGTCCACTGATAAACTGTTCATCCAACCACTAAAGTCTGAAAATTATCCACATGATCTTTTTGTTTACAGAACATGGATTGCTTATTCTAATTCTGACCTCTTCAGCAAATTTTAAAATATGATGGTTCAGCGTGTTTTATTCCATATAGCTATCTTATCCTGCTCATCCTTCCATCAATGCAAGATTGCAGTTCTGGTGTCGACCTTTGGTTTTGGCACCTCTAGCAACTACGTTATGCATTAGCTGTGTGTGCATGTTTCTGGATTTTGCTGGGACTGATTGTTTAACAGTTTTAATGTGAAACAGCATGATTTTCACTGGCATAGAAAAGGAGCACTATGGGGTGATGCATTAGCAGGGAAGTTGAAGCCTCAACTACTACAACAACTTATTCTGTATGATTCAGTCTCTCTCTTGTGAAACCAGTTGCATTTAACATTTTCCAATGTTCATATAGGGAGCTGCAGTAGTGCAATGGCTAGATGCTCACCTGCCAGCCCAAAGGGCTCAAGTTGAGATCCACACTGGGTGGATTTGGGTGGGAAAAATACCTTGGTTCTGGGGTTGACTAGGTCTTAAATGGGTACCAGGAAATGTCATGGGAAGTACAGATGGCTGGCATGATGTTGGCAAAATTATCCATTGACTACTGATTGATTTATAAAAATATGAGTCTAAGCATCATATGCTTCAAACTTGCTTGCGTAAACAAGGGTTCTTTACTTACTGATGTTAATCTCTGCTGTAGCTTATGATGGTACTCACTGACATTGTTCTCTGTTATAGGTTATGATGGTACTCACTGACATTGTTCTCTGCTGTAGCTTATGATGGTACTCACTGACATTGTTCTCTGTTATAGGTTATGATGGTACTCACTGACATTGTTCTCTGTTATAGGTTATGATGGTACTCACTGACATTGTTCTCTGTTGTAGGTTATGATGGTACTCACTGACATTGTTCTCTGCTGTAGCTTATGATGGTACTCACTGACATTGTTCTCTGTTATAGGTTATGATGGTACTCACTGACATTGTTCTCTGTTATAGGTTATGATGGTACTCACTGACATTGTTCTCTGTTATAGGTTATGATGGTACTCACTGACATTGTTCTCTGTTGTAGGTTATGATGGTACTCACTGACATTGTTCTCTGTTATAGGTTATGATGGTACTCACTGACATTGTTCTCTGTTGTAGGTTATGATGGTACTCACTGACATTGTTCTCTGTTATAGGTTATTATGGTACTCACTGACATTGTTCTCTGTTATAGGTTATGATGGTACTCACTGACATTGTTCTCTGTTATAGGTTATGATGGTACTCACTGACATTGTTCTCTGTTGTAGCTTATGATGGTACTCACTGACATTGTTCTCTGTTATAGGTTATGATGGTACTCACTGACATTGTTCTCTGTTATAGGTTATGATGGTACTCACTGACATTGTTCTCTGTTTTAGGTTATGATGGTACTCACTGACATTGTTCTCTGTTATAGGTTATGACGGTACTCACTGACATTGTTTTCTGTTATAGGTTATGATGGTACTCACTGACATTGTTCTCTGTTATAGGTTATGATGGTACTCACTGACGTTGTTCTCTGTTGTAGGTTATGATGGTACTCACTGACATTGTTCTCTGCTGTATCTTATGATGGTACTTACTGACATTGTTCTTTGTTTCAGGTTATGATGGTACTCAAGACATTGTTCTCTGTTGTATTTTCTAATGGTACTCACTGACATTGTTCTCTGCTGTAGCTTATGATGGTACTTACTGACATTGTTCTCTGCTGTAAGTTATGATGGTACTCACTGACATTGTTCTCTGTTATAGGTTATGATGGTACTCACTGACATTGTTCTCTGTAATAGGTTATGATGGTACTCACTGACATTGTTCTCTGTTGTAGGTTATGATGGTACTCACTGACATTGTTCTCTGTTGTAGGTTATGATGGTACTCACTGACATTGTTCTCTGTTGTAGGTTATGATGGTACTCACTGACGTTATTTTCTGTTTTAGGTTATGTTGTACTCACTGACGTTGTTCTCTGTTATAGATTATGATGGTACTCACTTATATTGTTCTCTGTTGTAGCTTATGATGGTACTCACTGATATTGTTCCCTGTTGTACTCACTGACATTGTTCTCTGTTATAGATTATGATGGTACTCACTGATATTGTTCCCTGTTGTACTCACTGACATTGTTCTCTGTTGTAGGTTATGTTGTACTCACTGACATTTTTGTGCGTTATGATGGTACTCTGACATTGTTCTTTGTTGTACGTTATGATGGTATTCTGACATTGTTCTCTGTTGTAGGTTATGATGGTACTCTGACATTGTTCTTTGTTGTACGTTATGATGGTACTCTGACATTGTTCTCTGTTGTAGGTTATGATGGTACTCACTGACATTATTCTCTGTTATAGCTTATTATGGTACTCTGACAATATTCTCTGTTGTAGGTTATGATGGTACTCACTTACTGACAGTATTCTCTGTTGTAGTTTATGTTGGTACTCACTTACTGACAATATTCTCTGTTGTAGGTTATGATAGTACTCACTTACTGGCAATATTCTCTGTTGTAGGTTATGATGGTTCTCACATACTGACAATATTCTGTGTTGTAGGTTATAATGGTACTCACTTACTGACAGTATTCTCTGTTGTAGGTTATTATGGTACTCTGACATTGTTCTCTGTTGTAGGTTATTATGGTACTCTGACATTGTTCTCTGTTGTAGGTTATAACGGTACTCTGTTGTAGGTTATAATGGTACTCTGTTGTAGGTTATAATGGTACTCTGTTATAATTCTCTGTTGTAGGTTATAATGGTACTCTGTTATAATTCTCTGTTGTAGGTTATTATGGTACTTACTTACTTATAGATAATATTCTTTGTTGTAGGTTTTGATGGTGAGTCTGGACGAGATGGAGAACCAGGTTTCGCTGGCCTGCCAGGTGATAGAGGCTACCCAGGTGCCCCTGGAGATAATGTCATCGGACCTAAAGGAGAGAGAGGCAGCCCTGGCGTGGATGGACTTCCAGGTCAAATTGGATTTCCTGGGGATCCAGGTCGCAGAGGTGAAAAGGGTCTGCCCGGACTGGGTCCTGATATCGTCGGTCCAAAGGGTCTACCTGGTCCAGCAGGAGATATTGGTGATGCTGGCACCCCCGGTTCTCCTGGGTTGCCTGGTTTAGATGGAGAGGAAGGTAAGAGTCTACATACAGCATTAACTGTTGTTTACCAGGGCTGCATTGACTATTTGAGATGTATGTTTTTCCAGTGACACACATTGTAGCAGAAATGGCATAATCAGACTATGAGGTAAATGCTAGATGTGGGCTGCAACATTTCTTCACATGATACAAGAGTGATCAACTCAAATGCACAGGGTTCTACAACTTTCACTAAAGTAAAACTGATGCTATTTGACATCAGTCCCACATTTGAGTGACCTGTGTTTTTATCGTTTGGCCATCTCTTCATTATTCACTCACAAAAGTCAGGTTGGAGTCCACCACCATTGACTATTACATTTTTCAAAGAAGTCACAACTACGATTCTAAATACACACGCAAAAGTTGTTGAAAAATATGATTCTCATCAGTGATGTCAAATTTTCTGACTGAGTCTGTCGTCACTAAGCCTTTACTTATTCATGGAGGTCATATGTATTCATTATATACTTAAACAGCTGCCTAAAATTATGCTGTATTCCAAGTTGTTTTAGAGTGACCAGAGGTTCTGGTGGACACACACAGTATCCAGTGTGCAGACAAGGACATTTAATCAGATTTCAGCCAACACCATTAGCACTGGAATTCTTCACTTGATACTGAAGACGAGAATAGAGCATTTATGAGAATGCTATGTATGCAGTGATGTCAATAATTTAAAGTTAGCATTTTTTTCAGTTGACTGTTAAAGGAATGAATCTATTTTAAGAAATCACAACAAATTTAATCTGCAGGTATCATTGGTGACGACTGTGGCTTTTGTCCAAATGGTGTGCCTGGTATTTCAGGAGATCCAGGAGATCCAGGCTTTCCAGGTAAACTTTTCATACTTGTTTACTGTTTACACAAATTTGACCAGACATGTGGGTGCTCTGATTGTCTGTGCAGAATGTTTGTATGGGAAGTAAAAGACTCTTTTCCAAGCCCTTAGTCATATTGGGTATATACTGCTAGAGCTGTATTTTATGGACCAATCGGCACTTGGTGGGTGATGTGGTCAACATCATACTGGTCATCTTTACTTCCCAGGACTTCGCCCGTTTTAGGCTGGGCCGACCTGGGAGCTAATGTCATTTTTTGAAAAAATACAGCCTAATGCAGATTTGAAATCATGATCAGCAGGCGAGCTTCTAGCCACTACACCACATCATTTGTGAAGGGCTTTAAGTTATATCTTCATCAGAAATATTTGTTAACAAAGAAACACAATCTTTATGTTGTCATCATCATCATGTGTGATGCACAAAAAGTGATGACAGTCATGGTTTGTGTTCACACAATCATCAGAATGATGGCTCAGGTCAATGATCCTGTTCTGTCCAAGGGCTGGCCATCCAAGTATTTACCTCTTTATCTTTCCTGTGATCTTTTGCCATGAAGTATGAAGGTTTAATGTAGAGAGGTTGACCTCACTGCACTAGGTTTTTATCCATAATAGCTCGGTCACATACTGCAGAATAGTAAACCACCTGCCAAGGTCATAAAAAGAAGGATGAACTTTGTAGCTGCATGGACAGCTCTCAGGGATCTCTGTAAAAATTGTCCTGTTGAACCATATGATGTGGTCTTTGAAATTAATCCATAACATTCACAAAGTGTTAGGCCAATTTACCACAGAGACCCCCTTCCATCCAGTTTTCAAGCTTATTTCTTCTATTAATATGTCCAGAACATCTTCACCGTCTGTGCCTAGTACCTCTACACATTCATTTATGTAATGAATGAACATTTGAACTATTCACAAAGTTGTGTATAATGAATGAGCAGTTGAACCACTCATTTACAGTTTCATATAATTATGGAAAAATTGTACTACTTATTCAGAGTTTCATAAAATGAATAAACAGTTGATCTTTTCGTTTATAGAGATTGATATGATGACTGAACAAATGAACTGTTCATTTACAGAGATTCATGTAATCAATCAATAGTTGAACTACTCATTTACAGAGGTTCATGTAATGAATGAACTGTTGAACTATTTACTTATTTACATAGGTTTGTATAATAAATGAAAAATGGTTTTCACAGGTCAACCTGGCCGTCCTGGACAAAATGGTTTTCCTGGCTCTAAAGGTGAGCCAGGTGTCCCTGGTGTGCAGGGCCCCAGAGGTCCTCAGGGACTTGCAGTGAGTATCCTCTTGTATTTTCATTCTCTTTAATGATTCTCTACAGGTCTAGCCAGCCAGCAGTGGATTTACTACTGCTAAATCAAATACAATGAGATATAAACCTATATAATACAAAGCATATACCAAGAGAGGAGAGGGACATACAGCAAGAGGTAGATCAAGGACACGAGGGAAAGATAACATCAGGGAAACTCTGCAATGTCTATGGTCAAAGGAGCCAGAAGAGCACGAAGCAGGACCTTATGTCTCCGTCGACACTCAGAGCGGTAAAAAAGGATATAAACAAGAAGAAAAAGAATGATTCTCTGACAAGCTGTCTATTTTGCTGTAGTTTTGTTTCTGTTGTTATTGACTTATAGATAATTATCAGTTCAGTACACTGATTTGTTGTAGTTTGCATGTTGCTTCAGCTTACGGTGAACGCGTTGTTGACCGTGCAGATCAAATTTCTTGCCCAAGCAGTTGTCATGTAGTTGACAGGCTAGGATGTTTTGATAAAACCTACTGTTGACTAAGGATTGTACACTTGTGTTTGAAGTGGCCATCCTGACATTAGAGCCACACTTTCCTAGATTGTTTAGTTAAAAGTTAAATCAATTAATGAGGAGCATTTTTGTTTTAAGATAAATTTTATTTTTAAAAGTAGCCACATACATAGCACCGACTGACATCATATGGAATTTACAGAGATATTAAAGGTATCATGACAAAATTTTATTTTTAAAAGTAGCCTCATACATAGCGCTGACTGACATCACATGGAATTTACAGAAAAATTAAAGGAATCATGACATCAGATGTGATTACCTCATCTAATACACAAAAAGCTTTGAGAAACAAAAACAAAAACTGGTGAAACACTGTACACACACAAACAAATGAGCTGAGGTTCTGCAAGTGGGTCACAACTGATTGAGAGGAAAGAGCCATATTCTTCCACTCGCTAGGTTGTAGTCATTTTCTTCTTCTGCTGTGCTTGCCCATTAAAGGGCACTTGGCACTTTGTCTTGTGATTGACAGGCTACAGTATCTGCGTCTTTCGACTCAACATGTCCAGCTTCAGTCAACTTCTAGCTGACCATCTTCTACAACATGCTTGTTAGGGTGCAGTGGATCTGTTCTTTTCAACCCTAAAATAGGCTCTGGGAACCTTATAATGACTGTGCCCATATGACTGACAGGGATTCTGCCTTCACCGTTATTAATCGACACCTTTTGAAAATTGTAAAAGTAGTCAGAGTTTGGATTAGCAATCCCTTCTCATGTAAACAAAATGATCACACAGTTGATCTGAGATTTCTCTGATAAGCTGTGCAATGCAGTAGTTTGTGTCCTTAATTATGTGTTGATGTAAATTCTCAAGTGTGCACCTGTGAGATACAGCAGAATATTCAAGGCAATACATTGTGCTATAAATCATTTGTGTCCTTATTCTTGCAGTTATACTTTATGTTTCTTTAGGGTTTACCTGGGAATGATGGTGCTTTTGGCTATGATGGCCCCAAGGGTCAGCGTGGTGACAATATTCCAGCGGTTGATGTTGAACGATTCCGTGGACCTGCTGGACCTCCTGGTGACCCTGGCTATCCAGGATCTCCTGGTCCTGATGGGTCTATGGGCAGTGTGGGACCTCGAGGATTGCCAGGACTTTATGGAGAAAAAGGACTTCCTGTAAGTATTGATTTTAGATAAAGTGCCCTGTGGCATCTCACAAACAATACAGCACATTCTTTATCTTCATCTAGCCTAGAGCTGCAAAAAGTAAAAATTTCTTAAAAGGGACAAAGGTTTGATTAATGAACACAGAACATGTGTCATCATCATTCGACACTTGTGGAGCTTTTGAGGAGGATATCAGAGCACCTATGGATCTGTCCAGAGTGCTATGAGGATAATCCTCTATATCCTCTTCCTGTCGCTGTTGACACATAAGGCATTTACAAGTGATCTCCATTGCTGTCAGTCTGCCTCTTTTCTGCCGATGGTATCCCATTTCAGATTACATTCCTTCATTTCCCGTTCTATTGTCCTTCTCCACATTTCCTTGGGTCGTCCAGGTCTACTTTTCCCATCTGCTGTTCACTGGAGAGCTGTTTTTGCCAGAGTATCACAAGGCGTTCTGCAAACATGTCCAAGCCATCTCCATCATGTTACTTTGATAACATTTGCCAGTGAGGCACATTCTGTTTTCCTTCTCAGTTCTTCATTTATGATCTTGTTTGGACAAAATATTTGTAGAATTCTCCTAAAAAATTTATTTTGAAAAGTCTCAAGTTTATGTGTAATTCCCGCTGTCATTTTGAGTTTTGTTTTCAAACGGAATCCCTTTGACTTCCATATATTGTTAAGCATGCCAAATGCTCGATTTGCTTTGTTTATTCTTGATGTTACATCCTCTTCAAAATCTCCATCTGGAGTAACTTTACTTCCGAGGTATAGAAATTCTTCAACTTCCTCTATTGCTTCATCATTTAACTGGATTTTCTGTTTTGAAATTATTTCTCATTACTTGAGTTTTACTGGTGTTTATTCTGAGTCCTATCTTAATGGCTGTTGTTGAAAGTCTTTCCATCTTTTCCTGAGTGTCCACATGACTGCTTGAAATAAGGCTGATGTAACCTGCATAGTCCAAGTCCTCTTAAATAGGGGTGTGACCACATGAGCTTCTTTCTCTATCTCATGTAACTTCCTATATCAGCCAATCAGTGGCCAAATTGAACAAAAATGGGGATAGTATGCATCCCTGTCTGACTCCTGTGTTGTCAAAGAAATTTTCTTTTGTATAATTTTCACAAACTACCTTGCAACGAAACTCTAAGTAAATAGCTTTGATCAAATTTACTATTTTCTGTGGTACACCATAGTGGCACAAAATCTTTCATAGTGATTCCCAATGCAGGCCATCAAATAGTTTTTTTCAAAATCCACAAAGGTCATATAAACTGCACTATTCCATTCGTTACTTTGTTCAGTTTTTTGACGCAGCGGAAAGATGTAATCATTACATGATTTCCCCTCTCAATCCTGATTGCTCTTGCCTAATTATACTATCAAGTGCTTGAGTCATTCTTTTATGAATTATCCAGACCAATCAGCACAAGATGGATAATGTGGTCAGCATCACTCCAGCCACCTTTACTTCCTGGGTCTGCACCTGGTACCCACTCAAGGCTGGGTCGACCTGGGAGCGAAAGTCTGGCTCATTTTTTTTTAAAAAGTCTGGCTCCTTCAGGGAGGAAACCTTTAGCCGCTCTGCCACAGCGACTCCCCTGTGTTGTGGTACTGATTAAAAATTTAAATATGAAGTAGCTTAAAAAAAGTCTCTGGAATAGTCCATTACTGTTGTAGTTGATCTCTCCCTGCTTCTTTCACCCTCTAATTTGTCTTACTGTTCTATCTCCGGTGTTTCCCTTCTCATGGCGTGCCCAGAGAATATTGATTTTCTTCTTCTGATGCAAGTACCCAGTTCTTGTTAAACTAATTTCTTTCAAGACATCTTCCTTTCACTTTGTATCTGTCTGTGATAACCCTTATGTCTCTTCTATAAAACTATCTCTGCAGCCTCCATGTAATTTATGTCTGCTGATTGTCTATGATTTACTTCTATATATCAGGACTGTCTCTATATAACTATGAACTCTTTCTTTTTTGAATCCTAGCCGTATTTGATTTTTTGAAACTGAATTTATATCATCTTCTGCTTCACTTCCTTCAGTTATGAGTCGAGAATCGTCTCCATCTTCAGCAGTTGGTACTGGGGAATTCTCATCAGGCGGTTAAACCATCTTATCTGTTGCCCTTTGATAGATTTATATTGTCTTATCTAAATAATTAATCTTTTCTTGTTGTTGTTTTCAGGGATCACCAGGAGTTCCGGGTGATGAAGGACTAGATGGGTTACCAGGTGTGCCTGGTGCACCTGGCTTCAAAGGAGAACCTGGTTTACCTGTAAAAGGTTTTAAAGGTGTCAAGGGTATTGAAGGTGTGCCTGGCATTGATGGTTTGCCTGGTTCTAAGGGAACAAAAGGTAAGGTGTTAATCCTTGAAAGGGAAACTGTATCTGTCTTTGGTTATGCTTTTTTTTTTGGTTGATAAATAAACACTATAATAAATTATTGTGATACTTTGGCAAGAATAACAAGTGCACTTGTGGGCTGGAGATTCATGAACAAACTTCACAACCCAATGTGCACCAGAGCCTGGATTTTCTATCATGGGCAGTTTAGAAGAAAAAACTATTTGACGTGGCTTTTGGACTGTGTTATGAGGGTTGCACCTCGGAAGAGATTAGGGCCCCACCAGTTACATTCCCAGAAGATACATATATACACTGCAGCTAATGTGGAGGTGGCATATCATGTATTTACTATTTGTAGCACATTCATGTATTTGAGGTATTATTACAGCAGTCAATAAAATGTCTGGTATTGTTGTGGTTTGATCACATGGATCAGACAGAAGAGAAACTGGATGACTGGCAGGATGAAAATAGATTCAGTCTCATTAATCGGCCAACCACCCCATCAGCTTTTTACTCAAGAGCATGACCTACCACCCTGACACCAGACCTGGCATTTCACTCACCAGACATGGAATAAGATATTAGAACTGTTGGGGAAACAATTAGGAGGCAGTGACCACTGCCTAGTCTTTCTGTTGGTAGAAAACAGTTGATAAGAAAGAGCAGCACTATGCGATGATGGAATTACAAGAAGGCAGATTGTTGTTTTGTAGATGATGGAATTACAAGAAGGCAGATTGTTGTTTTGTAGATGATGGAATTACAAGAAGGCAGATTGTTGTTTTGTAGATGATTATCAGAACAGTGACAGAGATCCTGATTTCATTAACAAATAGAATTTTGTCAGAGATTCAGATCATATCAGCACCATACGAAAGTTTTAGTTAAAAAATCTGAAAACAGATAATGATGCAGAAAAAGAAGTTTTGTTTGTTTGTTTTAGTATCTAGAAGCCATTAGTTGTCAACCCTTAGGCTCGGTATTATGGATATTGCAACCTTTCGGCCTTGATTCCATTTTAAATACCGTAAATCTGGGAGAAATGTGGCTTTTCTGCCCACCCCTGGGAGTGAACCCGGACCACGGGGAGTTTATCACCCACTCACCGCGCAATCCGGTTTACCAACTACGCTAGAGAGACGGGCGATAAAGTAGTAAAAGAGTAGAATATATGGATACATAGGGTTAGGTCCCTTGGAGTTATATGCCATTATTAGGGAGTGACATGTTAAATAAACAGAATACCCTATTTCATGAGTCAGAGGGGCAAGGACCTGAATAGTCATGAATAGGGGAGAAATCATAGTGTTAAGGCTCACGGTCTTCCTGCCTTGCATGAAGGGCATCACATGCGGATCGTGAATATGTGTGTTGATGTCCTTAACCACCCCTTGGGCCTCTGATACTAAACCCCTGGGACTCAAAGAGTTAAAACTATTTCACTCCACAGAGTCCGAAGGAGCAGGCGATATATATATATATATATATATATATATATATATATATATATATATATATATATATATATATATATATATATATATATATATATATATATATATATATATATATATATATATAAAAATCAATGTTTGTGTGTTTGTTTGCCCCCTATAGACTCGGAAACTACTGAACCGATTTAGCTGAAATTTTCAGGATATGTTTGTTTTGATACCAGATGTTAAACCATCATGGTTTGAAATTCAACCTGTCACTGTCAGAGATAGGTGACCACAGTTTAAGCAAAAATATTCGAAACTAATATTTAAATTGTTAGTGACATCTAATTATAGCCACGTTAGTAATTGCGCATGCACCGTAGTCAGAACGCAAGTCTTCCGCTATTCGCCGGCGAGTTACGTGCAGCCAAGGCCTTTTCTAATAACATAGAGTAGATCGTGGTACAGCAAACAAGACTATCTCTATATTTGTGTAGGCAGTGATTGCCACAATAACCATATTAAACACGATTTCTATTTTCTGTTTTTTTTTTAAACAACCTTTGATGGGAAGGGGGGATGGGGGGCATCAAGGACTATCTCGACGTCGGCGCAGACATTGACTGCGACATTAACTTCATTAACCGTGTTAGACACGTGCGATTTCTATTGTTGTGCCGTTTCATTAATATATCTGGAGTATCTGTCTATGAGAAAACAATTGCCTGCGGTTTTGAATTGTGTTATAATCAGACACAGTAGTAGTAGGGTCACACATCTCAATAGTTTAGTTCTCTTTTCGTTGCTCCTATGAAGTGGCTGCTTGGTCGAATAGTTACAACACTGGGTTCCTGTGCGGGAGACCAGGGTTCGAATCCGCAGTAGTAAATTTTTTTTTACCCCGGACTAAAATAAAATCCTTATCTGCTCTGTCGTGGTGACAGCACAATTTCATAGCTTTCCATTTATTTTCATTTAGATTTAGTTATTTCATCTGCGTTGGAATTTAAAGCTGTGCTGTTTACCATAGCGTTCATTTCCTAATTATGGTGTGTGTTTTTTTCCTGTTTTTATTTGCTTTTCAAGTGTTTTTTTTTTCTTCCAACTACTTCAATGAGGGAAAGAGTTGTCGGTGATTTTTTTTTTTTGGGGAGAGGAAGGGGGGGGGGGGGGGGGGGGGGGGGGGGGGGGGGGGGGGGGGAGGGGGGGCAAACTGTTAACTGAGAGAGCTTTAAGTCACAGTAACTGCTTTACCCACTAAAAGTAGCAGCAGCAGTAATAGTTGTGGTTGGGCTGTTACACCGTAGTGCTCTCATGTGAAGACCGCCGGTAAGGTTATAGCGTTCTTCTGTCGGGAAGCGAAATTATACATCCTAACCTGACCAGTCTGTGGCGACAGCACTAGCCATGCGGAACCAAATCTTCTGGCTCACGACTCCCTGTCTACTCCGATGGTAACACAGATAGCAGTGACATTATTTTAGCCACTGTGGTGGTGGTCGTGGTAGTAGTTGTACTGGTACTTGAAGGATGATGTGGTAAATATTACACTAGCTCCATTCACTACCTATTACAATTCCTGCTCCCCATTTTAGTCCGGATGGACAGGGATGTCAATGTCAGTTACAGCAACAACAAAAATATCGCCAGGTAATAATTTTCAAATCCTTCGAAGAGGGAGAGAGCAGTAGTTGGTGGAAGAGGGGAGGGGAGGGGTAATGACTGAAATTTAAGAGAACTTAAAGAGCTTTACACGTGATTTTCAAGTTCTCATTACCTAATTTGTTTATATTTTACTAATGCTACCTCCGCTTTTCTATTTTTTACAACTTACTTTGTTATTTACAAGTACAGTTGTAGCTTTACTTCCGTCTGCTATAAAAATACAAACAGCTTTAGCATGTGATAACCAAATAACCATTTTTGTTACTGTGCTAATAACACCATTTAAACGACCAATAATATAAAGACACAATTATAAGGTGCGTGTTCTAAAGTTGGAAAACCAGACTATCTCTATATCTGTGCAGAAAATGATAGCGACATTAACTATATCAGACACGAGCGATTTCCATTGTCTTTCTTTCCCAAAAACCTTTGATGAGGGAGAGAGTAGTAGGTGGATTTAGTTGTGGTTGTGAGAGGGGGGGGGGGGGGGGGGGGAGGGGGATCAAAGACTATCTCTTATCTGAGCAGACAATGATTGTATTAGACACGTGCGATTTCTATTTTCTTTCATTTCCATTTAGCCAAACTATGCCACAGCAATGCGTGGCCGGGTACAGCTAGTATATATATATATATATATATATATATATATATATATATATATATATATATATATATATATATATATATATATATATATATATATATATATATATATATATATATATATATGTGTGTGTGTGTGTGTGTGTATGTATATATATGTATGTATATGTGTGTATATATATATATATATGTGTGTGTGTGTGTGTGTATGTATATATATATATATATATATATATATATATATATATATATATATAAGTAGGTTAACTGAAATGTTACTTTTATAAGCTTTGTCTGTGGCTTGAATCATAAACATGTGTATCTTCACGCACACACAGGTTTGCATAGATATACACTCTGTGCACACTCTAATTCTCTGTGTCTGTCTAAGCACACAGGCAGACAGACACACATGTGCAAGTTCTGCTTCCTGCTACCTCTACTTACTGTTACTGACCTGCAACTACTTTAACTGGTAAACAAACCAGAAACACACGGTTAAAATCTGATCATACTTTCTCAGGTCAGCCTGGTGAACCCGGGACAGCTGCTGCAGGACTTAAAGGAGATCGTGGTCCAGATGGTAGAGATAGCCCTCCTTCTGAGCCAGGCTTGCCTGGTGACTTTGGTAAGCTTTATTTTATTGCACTGTTCGAAAATTTCCTTTTTCTGATTATTTTGTAGATATGGAGAGGCTGGGAATGAAGGAGATGAAACAAATACTTGAACAGTTTTTTTTTAAATGACATTTTTTATTGACACAGATAGGAGGTGGGCTATGCTACAAGTGGGAAGACAACAGCCAGCGTGAGAAAGTGGATCATTAGAGTGTACAGGCTGAGTGAGGGAGAGAAAATGAAGCAGCAAACTACAAACAGAGTGAAGCACATTATACACTGAGATGAATGACAGAGAACAGTATACAAATAAAATCTTAGAGAGATTAGGGATGAAAAGATTGTTGTGAAAATACATTTTGAAAGATGCAAGTTAAATATTTAAGTCACTAAACGACATCTTTTTAAAATAAACTATACTGAAGGGAGAAGTTGAAAGAATAGATAGACAGTTTTACAATTTGAAGGATATGATAGATGGATGAACAGAGTATGAGATAGAGGTCAACTAAGGTGAGAGACAGAGTGTTGGGCATCCTGTGCAACAAGTCTTCATAGTGGAAATGACTCCTGATCAATTATCTTCACAATTAAATCGGTGGATTATGGAAGTTTTCAGAAGTTTAGGCTATCAGCTGGATTAATCCAGATTTATGCAGACAGAAAGACATGCTTTTCTTCTTGTGGTTACCCTGGTGAATATAGTCAATTTTGTGTTTCACTTTGAAGGATTCATTTACTTCCTTCAAGTTAATCAATTGTTACTGTAGTATGCACCTGACGAGATACAGTGAAATATGCCAGGCAATAAATTAAGCATCTATTGTTTGTGACTTCTTTGTTCAAATTCACAATGGGGAAACATTGCCAAAGCTATATTTGACAAGCATTTAAAGGATGTTTCATTTAGTTTTAGTTGTGCTTGATAAAAATTCTTTAACAGTTGGAGGTGTAACAAAATAGGCCAAGCCTTGTTAAAAGACCCTTTCCCATTCATTGTACTTGCCGGCAAGCCTTGTTGGCAGACAAACTTATTTGTTGAACTGTTCTTTATCTTACAACATAAAAGTGAATAACCTCTTATGTGCCAGAGAAAAGGGGCCTTATTGAAGGACTATTTTCCATGCATCGCACTTGACAGGAGATGTTGTCAACATCACTGCCATGCTAGCAAGCCTAGTTGGTAGACAAATAAGTTTGTTGAAAAGTTTTTATTTTAATGATAGGTTAACATGGAGAAAACACATTAGCAAGGCAGCAACCAAAGCCAGACGGAAGATAGCTATCCTGAAAAAAAACTAAGTGGAACCACATGGGGTGCAAATGGGAAAGAAGAAAGTTTATCAACAGATTGTACGACCACACCTTGAACACAGGTCTACTGCATGGAGCTCAGCATTAAAAAAAGCACACTACAAAAGTTAAATAGGGTGCAAAATCGAGTCATAACAGGCGGGATGAAATCGACACCTATAGCTGTGGTGGAGAAAATGGTGATGAACCAAACACGACAGAATGCAGAAATACCAAGATACTAATACAAGCAAAAAAGTTCCTTATTATGTGTGGCACCCTCTGAAAGAGATTCAAAAATTTAGGAATGAGGTGATAAAAACAGAAGCAGTTTCACCCACCGGGCTCAATGACTCTGCAGTCTAACCAGTGATCTGCCTGCAGTTGATAGCCCCTTAAAATGCTATCCTAGATTGGACCCAGTGGAGAAAGGATTATAAATTGCCAATACCCAACTAGACAGAAGTGAAAGGAGTATTCGACAAGGAAGAACAAAACAGTGTGCATTGTAAAACAGCCATCCTCATTCTATTTGATGATGAATACCAACAGGATCTTTGGATTCATGTCTACACAGATGAGTCAGCAGAAAATGCAAGTAGAAATGGAGGAGCAGGAGTGTACAGTGAACCTGGATAATACAGCCAAAATACCAACAGAAAAGCACAGTCACAACTATGATGCAGAAGTTAAAGCCATCAAGAGAAACTGCTAAACTCTAGTCATATTTCACAACCTGTGGTATTCCTAACAGATAGAAGAGTGGTACTTTAGGCACTCAAATCTGGAAAATTAGCTGGTATACAGACACTACTTTCAAACTGCGGGGTGGTCCCATTAAAAGTAAGGATGGTACAATGCTTACATCTGATATTGAGCAGAAAAAGAGATAGGCAGAACACTTCTAAGAAATCTTAAATAGACCTAGTCCACAAAAACATTGAATTTTTATGGAGGCTAAAATGAGCATGTTACTAGTAAATTTAAGACATACATGTGTCATGGAAATCAGGAAAGCAGTCAATTCATTAGCAAACAATAAGGCAACAGTTGATGATGATATTACTGCAGAAATGCTTAAGGCAGCAAATGATGTAACCATAAATCGAGTGAAAGATTTGTTTAATAGAATATGGGCAGAGGGGAAAATTCCACATCAGTGGAATAAAGAAATAATTGTTAAATTTCTAAAGAAAACTAATCTAACTAATAAAACTTTGTAACAGCTGGAGAGGAATCACTGTTTGCAGTAATGTCAAAGATTTTTTGTAAAATAATTATGTGTCAGTAAAGTTGAAATATAAATCTTTAACACTGTTCTAATTGTCAGTGAATTTGAAATCTGAATCCCTAATATGGTTCTGTTTGTCAACGAAATCTAAACCCCTGACATTGTTCTTTTTTTCATTAAAATCTGAATCTTTAAAATTACTCTATTTGTCAGAGAAATCTGAATCTCTGATACTGTTCTAGATGTCAGCAAAATCTGAACCTCTAACACTAGATGTCAGCAAAATATGAACCTCTAACACTAGATGTCAGCAAAATCTAAACCTCTAACTCTAGATGTCAGCAAAATCTGAACCTCTTAACACTAGATGTCAGCAAAATCTGAATCTTTAACACTAGATGTCAGCAAAATTTGAACCTCTAACACTAGATGTCAGCAAAATCTGAACCTCTAACACTAGATGACAGCAACATCTGAGCCTCGAACACTAGATGTCAGCAAAATCTGAACCTCGAACACTAGATGTCAGCAAAATCTGAACCTCTAACACTAGATGTCAGTAAAATCTGAACCTCTAACACTAGATGTCAGTGAAATCTGAACCTCTAACACTAGATGTCAGCAAAATCTGAACCTCTAACACTAGATGTCAGCAAAATCCGAACCTCTAACACTAGATGTCAGCGAAATCTGAATCTCTGACACTGTTCTGTTTGTCAATGTCTGCAGGTTCTCCAGGACTTCCAGGAGACTCTGGTATGCCAGGATTGCCAGGATTCCCAGGTCAAAAGGGAGACGCAGGTTTGCCAGGTTTTCCTGGCAGCCGAGGACAGGAAGGCCCTAAAGGTTACCCTGGACCATCAGGTGACGATGGTTTCCCAGGGGCACCTGGCATGAAAGGCTTGAGTGGAGATTACGGCATACCTGGTACACCTGGCAGAAAAGTAAGTGATTATAAAATTATGCACCTGCTGCTTTGTGATAATCTTGTTGATGGAAAACATCATCTGGATATTGAGTGTATTTGTAAAGTGTCAGTTCTTACTTATGACTCTTTTGGTCACAGAAAGTCCACCTAGCACTTTAGAGAAGCAATAATCACACACAATCATTGGATCACTACTTTCACAAGGGCCAGATATATATACATTTTTCAGCACAAATATGTTGTCTGATATTTTTAGCCTGCTGTTTCTAAATTTACGGAAATACAGTCATGCATGACGCATTGGGAGGAACACATTTGGAGTAGCCAATCACACATTATGTGTTAAGTTGGACATACTAAAAATAGCCACATATGATGTGTTGAGTGGGACACATTAGGAATAGCCAGTCATACATGATGTGTTGAGTGGGACACATTTAGAATAGCTTATCACACATGATGTGTCAAGTGGAACACATTAGGAATAGCCAGTCACGCATGATGTGTTGAGTGGGACACAAGAATTAGCCAGTCACGAATGATGTGTTGAGTGGGACACAAATATTAGCCAGTCACACATGATGTGTCGAGTGGGACACATTAGGAATAGCCAGTCACACATGATGTGCTGAGTGGGACACTTTAGGAAAAGCCAGTCACACATGATGTGTTGAGGGGGACACATTAGGAATAGCCAGTCACACATGTTGAGTGATACACAAGGATTAGCCAGTCACACATGATGTGTTGAGTGGGACACATTAGGATTAGTCAGTCATGCACTTGATGTGTTGATTGGGACAGAAAGAGCAAAATAATTTCTTATTACTTGTCAGTTTTTTTTTAGCTGCAGCAGCTTTCTAATTGTTGTTTCAACCACATGGGTTTGCTTATATGGTAGTGAGTGAGTTTACGTCTGCCCTCCCCCCCCCCCCCCCCCCCCCCTTTGCATGTAATATTTCTGCTACACTGATAATTCCTACAGTACCAAACATTTTTATACTGTACCAAACATTCCTGCTCTGCAAAACATTCCTGCTATACCAAACATTCCTGCTCTGCAAAACATCCCTGCTATACCAAACATTCCTGCTCTGCAAAACATTCCTGCTATACCAAACATTCATACTGTACTAAACATTCCTGCTATACCAAACATTCCTGCTGTATTAAGTATTTCTAATCTACCAAACATTCCTGCTGTATTAAGTATTTCTAATCTACCAAACATTCCTGCTGTATTAAGTATTTCTAATCTACCAAACATTCCTGCTGTATTAAGTGTTTCTAATCTACCAAACATTCCTGCTGTATCAAGCATTTCTAATCTACCAAACATTCCTGCTGTGTCAAATATTCCTGCCATACCAAATATTCCTGCCATACCAAATATTCCTGCCATACCAAATATTCCTGCCATACCAAATATTCCTGCTGTACCAAACATTCCTTCTGTACCAAACATTCCTGCTATACCAAACATTTCTTCTGTACCAAACATTTCCGCTATACCAAATATTCCTGCTGTACCAAATATTCCTGCTGTACCAAACATTCCTGCTGTACCAAACATTCCTGCTGTACCAAACATCCCTGCTGTATCAAATATTCCTGCGGTACTAAACATTGCTACTGTATCAAGCATGTCTAATTTATCAAACATTCCTGCTGTATCAAATATTCCTGCTGTACTAAAAATTGCTACTGTATCAAGCATGTCTAATTTATCAAACATCTCTGCTGTATCAAATATTTCTGCGGTACTAAACATTGCTACTGTATCAAGCATGTCTAATTTATCAAACATCCCTGCTGTATCAAATATTCCTGCGGTACTAAACATTGCTACTGTATCAAGCATGTCTAATTTACCAAACATCCCTGCTGTATCAGACATTCAAACATAATATTCCAGCATGGCTGCTATCTCTAGTGGATAAATCTGTCAGATAATAAATGCTCAATTTACAATTGTAGGGATCGAGAGGCCCAATTGGATCTTATCCTCGTGAAGTTGTCCCTGGACCTGTTGGAGATCCTGGAATCAGTGGGGATCCAGGTCGCCCTGGTATTGATGGTTTGCCAGGCAATAACGGATTACCTGGTCTTAAAGGCCTGAGAGGAGGCAGAGGTAATGTTTCTGGTTGTATATTTTTTTATAGTAAGCCATTAAGGGAAAAACTGTGTGGAAGCTGCAGAGATGTGGTTTTATAAATAAATAAGAACACCATGGATAAGCAAAGGGGAAATGAAGAAGTGAGCTTATGAAGAAAACTGATTAGTTGCATCAGAAGAGGACAATTTACATTCTTTGGCCACGTTGTGGGGAAAGGGGGGGGGGGGGGAGAGAAGAGTATTTAATGACAACAGAAAATTGGGGAGGCTAAGTAAGAGGATGCCAGAGAGTTTGTCATTATAGCATGGAAGAATAATTGTATCAGAAAGCAGTGACAGTATTTCTGAACAGAAGAATATGATCAGGTATAAATATCAGTGTCTCTTGGCATAGAACGTAAGAAGAAGATATATTTTCTACCAAATAATAACTCTACAACCATTACGATTTGTACAGAAACTCTGCACTGGTTACTGAAGAGGGGACAGAGCATTTATAAGGCTGATATTTATAACATAACATGCAAGAACAAGGATAAAAGCGACAACAAATAATTGTAGATGTTTGCCTGATGATGTACTCCGTGAATTATATTCATACATGGTACTGTTTGAAGTAATTACAAAAACTGTACTGTTTGAGATAATTATAAAAACTGAAGAGAACTAATTATAAGAACAGAAGAGAACATGTTAGAATATAATTCGCGGAGTACATCATCAGGCAAACATCTACAATTATTTGGTGTCGCTTTTATCCTTGTTCTTGCATGTTATGTTATGAATATCAGCCTTATAAATGCTCTGTCCCCTCTTCAGTAACCAGTGCAGAGTTTCTGTACTAATGGTGTTGGTTGTAGAGTTATTATTTGGTCATCTTGCCTTTTCTTTGAATACTGAGTGTCTATCAATCCTCTGGTCACTCCAATTAACATCATGCATTCTAGACGATATCTGTTCACTTCACTGTTCCACATTGTTTACATCTTCCAATAGGGCCTATACCACATCTTTGACAGTTGTGGACAGGAGAATTATAATGTTGTATGCTGATTTTGTCAGCTGAGAGTGCTAAGAGATTGTTCAAAGAGAGAAAATCTATAATTAAAAGAAGGAAGATTCTTAAAAGAGAGAAGAGAACAGTTGAAGACTTTGCTAGTTAATATACAAACAGTCCATTACCATCTGATAGAATGTTCACAATGTGTGTCTTATTTAGGTGATAGGGGTCCGGACGGGCCACAAGGTTTCTCTGGAATACCTGGTCGACCTGGAATAAGAAGAACTGGCCCTGTGGGACCTGCTGGGTTACCTGGAGACACTGGAGCAAAAGGTAAGTTTTTGTTGAAGCTTTTTTAGAGTAGTAAACAAAAGTAGTTACTTGTCACAGTGTGCTGGCTAGTAAAAGATGTCTTGGCTTATTTATTTATACATTTATATGTGTTCTACCTGTGGGTTCTAGGGCCACATTTTGGGGAAAAGAATAGACCTGCTACTTAACTAGCATGTCATAAAAGGACTTGCTGAAGTAGGATGTGTTGGGCCAAAAGGTACAGATCTTACATCCTTTGTGTAAACCACAGCCACTATGCCAACTGCCCTTGTAATCTTTGATTCCTCAGTGAGAACTTTACAAATATTACATTTTTCAAAATATTATTGAAAAGAAGCATATTCTTATGCATCTCTGGACTTTACCTTTAGAAACTAGATGAAGAGAATATGAAGCAGAAGTTTAGAGTCTTGGTCAATTTCTTTAAAAGTAGGGCATATGACTACCAAGCAGATAGACAAGTAAGTATGTTGGCCACTGTGACATTGCAACTGTCAAGTCCCTAAAAAGAAAGAAATCATTATTTTGTTTCCCTTCACTTGTTCATGCAAAGGTGTGTTTTTACGCTGAGGAAAGTAATCAATAAATACAAACAGGGCAGAGATGTACCTGCTTTTTTTTTTTTTTTTCTATCCTTTAACCATGAGAACATAATTTTTATTGACAGCCATATAGAGCAAAGACATATTGATAACATCGCAATGAGCAATAAGACCATTTTTCACCCCAAATACTATCTTGAATTTGTGTGTTTATGAGTTATGAATGTGTACAAGCACACGCGAGTGCGTGCGTGAGAGAGAGAAAACTTAATCATATACACCACGTCTTTACACTGTGCAGCTGCAACCAGTATCAAAGCTGTTATGTATGTGTGGAGGCCACTGCCCACAGATATATCACTAGAACACTATCAGTCTCAGAAAAAAACTCTCTTAGGATGACAGGGTTCAGAGTGAACAAAGAAGAAAAGGATTTCTATGGACACATACAAGCCACTTGCTCACTGAAACAGGTACTGGACAATTTGCAGCATTTGATGGGATTATCTTGGAAGGAAAGGTGACAAGGAAGGAAACTGGCCACTGCACTTTGTCACCTCAAATATGTGAAGGCGTAACTCATTACATCCTGATGGTGGTAACTGCTATGGGATGTCCATTACATTTACACATGCAAGCACATATGGGTGGACAAACCACAGATAGAAACACACATGAAATGGGCAGACATAACACTGTTGGTTAAACAGTGCAGTGTTGAACTGTGCAGTGATTATAAACAGTACAATGTTGAGTTGTAAAGTAATTAATCAAAATGAAACATTGCTGAGTAATACATTAATTAATGAAACAGTACAATGTTGAACTGTGTATTGACTTAAAACTGCAATTTTTAGTAGTGTAGTGCTTATAAACAGTACAATGCTGAGTTGTGATTAATGAAATAATACTTTGTTGAGTAATACATTGATAAATGAAACAGTACAATGTTGAACTGTGTATTTATTATAAAACAGTGCAATTTTTAATTGAGGATTTTCATGAGTGTAATAGCGGGGGTGGGAATTTACAGGTTCACACTTTAGTTTAGGAGCGACACAATTTTTTGGACTTCCACACTTAATCAGGAGTGACGAGTAATACATTAATTAAGGAAACAGTACAATGTTGAATGAGCGCCCTTTGGTCTATAAAATATAGGTCTAGCATAGGCATGAAGGCATGGAAGAGGATCCTTTACTTTACTTACAATGTTGAATTGTATAACAAATATAAAACAGTACAATTCTGTGCTGGAATATGGTTGACAAAACATGCAGCGTTGAGCTGTGGTTGATGGAACCAGTGTTGAGCTGCTGTACAGACGTTGCAAAACAATACATGTTGAACTGTACAGTGGCTGTTCAAATAGTACAATACTGAGTTATGCAGTAGCTGCATCTTGCTCTATTTTCTCCCTTTTCCTTCAGTAGCTTACTTTTTTGGTCTCCTTTTTCCCTCTTTCTCTCACAATATCCATGTCTCTCTTTCCCTCTCTGCCTGTTTTATCAATATCCTTTCTTTAAAACTCTTTCTCCATTCTCTTTCTTCTTTGTCTCTCTTTCTCCGTCCTCTTACCCCTCCCCCTCTCTAGCTCTTTTTCTCCATTCCTTCTCTTTGTTTGAATCTCTCCACCCTCTTTGTTTAAATAGAGAACATGAAAAGTAATACACTCCATGCTTCAATATTGTTTGTTCTGCATGTGCAGGTAACGCAGGAGGGAGAGGCCTCCCAGGCAATTCTGGTCTTCCAGGAATACCAGGTGAGCCAGGGGCGCCCGGAGATGCAGGAGACCCGGGATTTGATGGACTTTATGGACGTGAGGGCAATCCTGGACTCCCAGGTCTACCTGGCTATGATGGCTTGCCAGGAGAGCCCGGTAAGTTCAGCATGAATAGTTGGAAAGTATTCAATTGAGAAATAAAAGACAATACAGTCATTTTTCTCTGCTTCTTTTTTTCAGTTTGTCTAATTAATAGTCTGTTTAAAATACAAACTGCTTCTGTAAATTCCAGTAACAATTTCTAGTTTTCATCCTCTTCTTTGTTTTAGTGTTGATCTAAAATTTAAGTTTGTTTTGCATGCACATTCATTTTACAGGTCTGGCTTGGCATGCTCTAATGTGTGTTTTTTTTCATTTTTTCCTGTGTTTCTGTCTGCATGTCCTCTACATTTATATTTCCTGAATGTAAATTATTATTATGTCTGTTTTTCTGTCACGTGGGATACTTTACTTTACATCTCTAGAATTGTAAAGTTTCCTTGTATAGTTGAATATTCTGGTTGTCTGGGTTTTGGATAAAGTCTTTTACTTGTTTTCGTTGTCTTCCCGTCTGCCTTCCTCTTTAATTGCGTGTGTTTTTGTGTGTGTGCGCGTGCAGGCATGTGTGTGTGTGAGAGAGAGAGAGAAAGAAAAAAGAGAGAGCGCGCATGCACGGGCATGTATGTGTAGACACACACACACACTCAGTTGCTGATAATTTAATGACTTGTTTGATGTTTTCTCTGCAGGTCGTGTTGGACCTAAAGGAGACGCAGGCAACCCAGGCACTCCAGGTCCTAAGGGATTTGCAGGTCTGCCTGGAATAATGGGCATTGACGGTAAGGAGTATACGAATCGCCTCTGATAACCTGTTTGTTGTATTTATCTCACCCTGTGTCCTTCCCTTTTGGCCCCTCATTCTCAGATTATCTTCCTGTTTTTGGTCTGCCTTTATTCATTTGACTCTGTGGCTTCCAATATATGGAAACTCTTCTTCTTTTGCCTTCACCCTTAAAACGCAGCTGGCGTGTTCTATTATGGTTGAAGCTATACTGCAGAATTAACTTGCCGGTGCCACTCTCCTCTCTAGAGATACTAATTGTTCATTGTATAACCAGGAAGAGGATATTTTTGGGTGATTCCAGTCTACTATATACTACATTTCATCATTGTATATCCAGAATGATGATATCTTACTGGTGATGCCCATCTTCTCTCCAGATATATCTACTCTCTTGATATATCTGTATCCAGATATACTAGTGTTCATTGTATAGCTAGGAAGATGATGTCTACCTGGTGATGCCAATCTACTCTCTAGATATACTACATTTCTCTGTAGATAAACTACAGTTTGTCATTGTATAGTGGAAAGATGATATTTTACTAGTGATGCCTATCTGCTGTCTATCTACTCGCTAGATATACTACAATACGCTGCAGATATACTACAATCTGTCATTGTTTATCTGGAAAGATGATATCTTACTTGTGATGCCCATCTACTCTCTAGATATACTTCACTGTTCATTGTATAACTGTATAATATAAATGTATAACTAGGAAGAGGATGCTTACTTGGTGATTCCAGTCTACTCTCTAGACAAATTAATGTTGATTGTATGATCTGGAAGATGTTTTCAGCCTGACAATGCCCATCTACTCTCCAGATATAAATGGAATTGTTCTTACCTTAAGCAAGGCACAGATTTTCTTTTATTTGTCTTTATCTTAATAAAAGTGTTATACTATTTATGCAGTCTGCTTCCATTTCTCTCTAACAATGCTAAAAGAAGAAATGATTCACTTTATTGCACCAGGTTTTCTTCCAGATGGCTGGCTGAACCTTTCAGTCCACAGAATAGTTGCTCACACACCAAGAGTCTCACACAAAGCAGCAAATTCTGTAGCTCCTTACAACAACTCCCAGAGATATCCAGAACTCCTGCACTTGTGAAACAAATAAGTCCTTACACTAAATCTTTAATCTTCAGAGAGTAATTCAGAAGATTCACTGCTACTACATTTTGTTTAAACCCCCATTCCTTCAGAATGATACAAAAGATTAAATACTGCCTTACTGCATTGGCCCCTGACCTTTAGAGAGGGATGCAGAAGATTAACTGCTACTACATTCTGTTTAGACACCCCCCCCCCCACCCCCAACCCCCATTCCTTCAGAGAGTGATACAGAAGGTTAAATACTATGTTTTGTTAAAATTTCCATTCCTTCAGAGTGAGACAAAAAAATTAACTACTGGCCTATTGTATTGGCACTTGACCTTCAGAGATGGATGCAGAAGATTAACTACCACTATCTTTTGTTTAGACTCCCATTCCTTCAGAGTGATACAAAAGATTAACTACTATCTTACTGTATTGGAACATGACCTTCAGAGAGGGATGCAGAAGATTAAATACTACGTTAAAAAAAAATGTAAAGGTAAAGACGGAAGATGTGAACCAGCGTCATTGCACGCGGTTATAAACCATAAGTGCTCTGCCACCAGTACGGATAGCTGATAAGAAACTGCCAGTGTCGCCGTTTGCATGCAACTCCGTAGCTACAGCCACGTTCCTCCATTTACCCCAGAGTGTTAATTCTGGTACCCATTACCTAGAGGCTGGGTGAACCCCAGGAACTGCCCGGTTCAAACACCGCCCGCGTGCTGCAGCATACATTTTCTTGAAATTCCAATTCCTTCAGAGTATTAAAGAAGATTAACTACTATGTTATTGTCTTGGCACCTGACCTTCAGAAGATTAACTACTACCAAATTTTGTTTAGGACACCACCCCCCCCCCCCCCTTTTTCCTTAATTTCTTCAGAGAGTGATTCAGAAGGTTGTATACTACCTTTTGTTAAGACTCCCATTTCTTCAGAGTGATAAAGAAGATTAACTACTATTTTATTGTATTGGCACTTGACCTTTAGAGAGGGATGCAGAAGATTAACTACTATTACCTTTTGTTTCGACACCCCCCCCCCCCCCCCCCCCCCTCACCCAATTCCTTCAGAGTGATATAAAAGATTAACTATTATCTTACTGTATTGGCACATGACCTTCACAGAAGGAAGCAGAAGATTACCTACTATTTTACTGTTCAGACCCATATTTATTCAGAGAGTGATTAAATACTACCTTTTGTTTAGACTCCCATTCTTTCAAAGTGCTACAGAAGATTGACTACTGCTTTATTGTTTAGATGACCTTTTAGTTTTTATCCACCTCACGTAGTGTTTCTTGTGACCTTTTGAACTAATTTTCATTGCCATTTCACTGCATAAATACCCCTTTGGTCTTGGACTTTCTCAGTGTATACCTTCTTTGGCTAAACTGGCCAGACCTTCATATTTTCTGTTGAATTTCATCATTCACAGCTGAAAGATGTGACCAAATGGAGCTAGTTCTCTGTTCTTTATTCTCTTGACATTAGTTTAACAGATCCAGATATCTATCCAAGCATCCTATTTTCTGTGACTTTTTCTGTCAAAGTCTAGTTATTTCTGCATTGCTTTTGTCTTCATGTGTTATTAAATTAAACAGCTGCCTGACAAATGAGTAATTGGAAGCTTAAACTAGCAATGTCTGTGTCTATCCTACAGGGTCTCCTGGAGACATAGGTCTGGATGGTCTTCCAGGCTTACCTGGGGAGCCAGGCTTAAAGGGTCGCCCTGGTGATCCTGGAGCACCTGGCTTTAATGGCCAGAAGGGAGTTCGTGGATATAATGGTGAACCAGGACCTAAAGGTTTACCTGGAGATGAAGGTATGGTCTGACTTGTGTGAGCTTACTACTTTAAGTGATGTGTTTTGCTCTTGTTATTCCTCCTCCTCTTCATCCTCTTCTTCTTTATCTCTTCCTTCTCCTCCTCCCCTTCCTTTTCTTCTTCATCTTCTTCTTCTTCTTCTACTTTGCTTCTTCCTCTGCCTCTTTTTCTGCTTCCTATTCCATGTTTGCCTCCTCTTCTTTCTCTTCTTGGACAAATCTGAAGTCTTTAAAACTGGATGTGTTACATAACAATAAACAATTAAATACAAATCATCTGTGGGTTTGTCCTAGTATCAGGATGTAAATCCTTTATTAACCTTATGTTAGTAAAAAAAATGTCTGCATTAGAAATAGACAATCTACATTTTTTAGGTGTGTCATGAGAAGAGAAATGGTGTGGCGCGAAGGAACACCTGTATCAGAAAAGCTGTAGAAAGACATTGTTAACAAATTTTGTATTTCATTCTGTAAGTTTTATTTATTGAGTTTTTGTTTTTTGTTTTGTAAACAGGTCTTCCAGGTGCTAGAGGGTTTCCAGGTCAGCCTGGAACAGATGGACGCCCTGGAAGGAAAGGAGAGAGAGGAATATCCATTCCTGGAGAACCAGGTAAGATTGTTTTTCATACATACTGGAAATTTTTTTCAAAATATTAACAGGTTTAAATTTACTTTTAAGACATGTCAGAATTACTCATTTTTTTATCAGGATTTGTTTGACTGTTTCTAGTTTTTATGTTGTGTTTTGGTTAAAATAGTATCAACAACATGTGCAGTGTTGATATGTGAAGACCATCATGGTTGAAACAAAGTTTGATCTCAACCGCCACCTATCCTGTGCATACTGGTCTATAAAATTTGATTCACCAGTGGCATATAAAAAGGGTCTTTTGCTATTTTGTTTTGTTTTGTTGTTGTTTACTGTGTCTATTTTCTCTGATATTCCTTTCATTCTTCTCAAAAACCACATTTCTGCTGCCAGAGATATTTATCTTAGGTAAAGTATCATTATTTCCACAGTTGTTGATTTCTTTTATGATATGGAAACTGATGGCAATATTTTGTTTTGTTTTTTAAATTCAATGCCAGATGAAACAAAGAAGAATACATGAACAAAGGAAAGTATGAAAGATCAGAAAAAATACAGATTCATTTATTAGAGTGGACATAGCAGCTTTAAAGCCTTCATCAGCAGTAAAAAACAAAAACAAGAGAATACTGATGCATTTGCATTTATAAGTAAAAGTAGTCAAGAGTGCAGTCAGAAAGGGGGAGAGGGGTGGGGGGGGGGGGGGGGGCACCCACATGAAAAATAGCACAGATCAGCTATGTAAGAAAATGGAAGGCCAAAAAGAGGGTTCAGTAGTTTTCCTGCTTGCTGGCTTTGTGGTCATAGGTTTAAATTCCCTGCAAGGCCTATTTCAGAACTGATCTGGGCTTGTAGACCAGCCCAGTGTAACATGGGTAGAACTGGTATTTCACTTTTTGATTAAGGTATGCTCTGAATCAATCTGCACTTTTCTGTTTCTTCCAACTCAGGGCGTGATGGCTATCCAGGTGCGCCTGGGGTGCCTGGTCTAGAGGGTCTGTATGGCCCACCTGGTGCCCAAGGTGACACTGGAAATCCTGGTAAGTCAATCATATTTTCTTAAATTAAACACTTTGTATATATGAGATTTTCATGTTTCTATATCATAGCTGTTCAGCTAAGTTAACTCCTGGGCCAAAGTGTTGAAAACTTGGATCATCACGGGCCAGAGGCCAGAGCCCCAGCATACAAAGATCATTTAATACAGTACAACTGGCAATGATCCGAGGGCCACTTGCCAGGTTTCTGCGAGCCAAATCTGGCCCGCAGACCACAAGTTGAATAGTTCTGGTCTATATATTTGAATGAATAGGTGACTTGTGACTACGTTATGGGGTTAATGGATGAAAAAGTAAGAGGTGGTATATTTCTAATTTGTCATCACTGAATTTGCACATAAGAATAAGTTTAACATGAAATGTAGACCTACACAACCCCTCAGCTATAAGTGCTAGTGCATTATCAACCTCAGTATGCTAATCTTCCTATAGTCTGTGTCATGTGTAAAGTCCAGTGTGGCAGTCTCTGCCACATGATCCACATAAAAACATTTATGTTGTTTTATACTGATTGTCTATTTCTGGTGGAGGTCATCAGTGCATTTCATGGGTTGATTTCTTAAAATATTCATTACGATTTTTAGCTTTCCAGGGTGTTCTGATCAATCATCATCATTTATAAAACTACAACTCTACAGCTTCAACAGTATTTTTACACTAAACTGCTGACAGTCCGTAATTCGCTTCCATATATTAGGAATGGCTTTATATAGCTGTTAAGAACTATGTTTCTCATTTCAGTTGACTGCATAGATTATTCTTCATTTTGTGAAAAAGTACATTTGCTTTATCTGTATGTATTCTCTTCTAATAAAAATTGATATTTTTTTTCTATCTATCACATATTACATAAGCTGTTGGAATTTCATACTTGTAGGATTACCTGGTATAACTGGAATGCCTGGAAACCCAGGTCAGCCTGGTAAAGATGGATTAGATGGCCTCCCTGGTCTTCAAGGAGATGCAGGATCTCCAGGTGTTCCTGGACGACCTGGTCCAGAAGGACCTCCAGTAAGTGACTCGGTAACCTTTTTCCATTGACAATACTGCTGTTTTTTTCGTCAAAGGACACCATGTGACTGTGCTGCCGGATAAGTATCAAACCAGATTTTCTTAGTATGTTCAGAAAGACACATGTATTGTCTAAAAATAGTCTAGCATCATATGCCCGAGGCACCTTCACTTCCCAGAGCATTTCCTATAATCTGTTTTAGGCTGACTCATCCTGGGAACCGGGGTCTTTTTTTCTTCAAATGGTATTTTGATGAAGATTCAAATCCAAGAGCTTCCAGCAGGTCTGATAAAGTAAAGGACACATTCGTATCTTCAGGCGTGTTGGGCATCAAGGGCAAGACCGATATTTTATAGACCAATCATGACTTGGTGGGTGATGTAGTTAGCATCATGCCAGCCGCCCTTTGCTTCTCATGACTTTACTGGTACCCATTTAAGGCTGCATTCACCTGAGAGCCAAGGTAATTTTTTTTTTTTTAAAGTCCAGCTCCATTTGTATTTTAACTTTGAACCCAGGACATTCAGATTTGTAGGCAGGTATCTAGCAGCTACGCCATGATAGCTCCTTCCAGGAAAGTATTAGGTAGACATTTATTTTTAATTCTTTTTTCAGAAAGGCTGCTGATTTAAATTTTTTCAATAAAAACAAAGGAACATGTTATCACAGAGGTGGTCGGTTTTATTTAGTATGCTTTTCCCATGTGGGTTCTCAGACCCATTTTGTAAAGTGTGGGGGAGGGGGGGGGGAGCAAGAGAGGGGGGGGGGGTTAGGAGAATAGTCCTACTATCCCATTAATAGCATGTAGGAAAAAGTGACTAGGGTTATACTGAAATTTGATGTGCTGGGCCAAAAGTGTCGTCTAAAGTCCTGCTGTAAACCATGACACAGTGCACCACAAGACAGCGTACCACCACACAGTGCATCACAACACAGTCTACCATAACACAATCTACTACAACACAGTGTACCACAAGACAAGGTACCACAACACAGTGTACCATGATGCAGTGTACCCAAGACAGTGTACCACAACACAATGTACCACAACACAGTGTACCACAACACAATGTACCACAACACAATGTACCACAACACAGTGTATCACAACACAATGTACCACAACACAGTGTACCACAACACAGAGTACCACAACACAGTGTACCACAACACAGAGTACCACAACACAGTGTACCACAACACAGTGTACCACAACACAGTTAAATGGATGTTTTTTTTAATGGTTTTGTCCTTAGTATGTCTTGAGCAAAAGGCTTTTGAAAGAAAAATGAAGAAAACACCAAATAATTGTTGGGACACTGTGATGTGCTAAGTCCACAATAATTGTTGGGACACTGGGATGTGCTAAGTCCACAATAATTGTTGGGACACTGGGATGTGCTAAGTCCACATCTTCCTTTTTTGGAGAATGCAGTTTTTTTGGATAACATTTTCTAATTTTTATATTTACTTAACATTTACATCTGCCCAGGGTGACGATGGCATTGTAGGATTGCCAGGTAGGATAGGTCTCCAAGGGTTAAAGGGTCAAGCAGGACAGAGCGGCCTGGCTGGCGAACAAGGTAGTCCTGGAGACAGTGGCCTTCCAGGGCGACCGGGCAGAAGTGGTCTTAAGGGCCTAAGTGGAAACCCAGGTTAGTACCATCAGTTTGTATCTAAACCTGTTCAGATATTGACCTGTATGAAAAACATGTCTAAACACTATTTAAAAAACAAAATGTCTTTTTTTAATGACTGTTTTTTTTTTTCTTTACCATGTTTACTTGTCCTCACAGTGTATATATGTATATATATGTATATGTGTGTATGTGTATCTATGTATATATACATACGTGTGTATACAACTTTTCTAACTTTTCTTACATTGTGGACCTTCTCTATATATTTACTGTACTCTGTTTTTTTTTTCCTCACTCACTAAATTCATTTTACTCACCTACTATATCCTTCTTCTTTGCCTTTACCGGCTGTTAACTCTGGCAGAAAGTTCTGGGTGTTCATCCACCTCCAGACTTTAGTCTTGTTTCAGAGGGGTGCGTGCACATCCATTTCACATATCTTTCTTATTGGTTTGCAGACTCTTGGTTCCTTGCCTCCCTGGCAGATGCACTGTGACTTAGAAAAATACCCCCTTTAGTTGACTCTTATGGGGCGTTACAGGTCGACCCAGCCTAAAATGAGTACCAGGATGTATGTAAAGATGGCTGGCCTAATGCTGATCACATTACCCACCTAGGGCCGATTGGTCTGTAAAAATATGGGGTGCTCTTTCCATTTGCCCGATGCGCCTCAAGGCATGAAAAGGGATCTTTACTTTTATTAGTCGACTCT